CTAGACTGAGAGTTCCTGAGGCTCAAGACTGGGTCTTGATCATTCCTAATACCTAGAGCCAGCCCCACACCTGTCCTTCAAGTGAAGCTCAGCAACTGTTTGGTGGATCCATTAATCAACCTGTTAAAAGAGCTTTGAGTGGGAATGATGTGCCCAAGGCGTTTAACCTGGAAAATGGATAGAAAAGGGGAGCTACGGAAAGACATAGTTTTGGGAGTAGATTGTAGCTTAGATTTGGTTGATGCGTTGAGATGACAGTAAATATCCAGTTGCTCATGGACAGCAGGTGGCTGAGAAGAGACAACTCAAGGTTATCTCTGATGATCAGCAGCACTGAGTCAGCTCTTAGCTTAGAAACTATAATCATATTTGGTAAAATCCTTTTATTTTATTATTTTTTAAAATAGTTTTTTATTGATTTTTGAGAGGAAGGAAAGGAGAGGGAGGGAAACATGATTAGCTGCCTCCTGCACACCCCTACTTGGGATCGAGCCCGAAACCCGGGCATGTGCCCTGACCGGGAATTGAACCGGTGACTCTCGGTGCATGGGATTACACTCAACCTACTGAGCCACGTCAGCCAGGGCTGGTATAATCCTTTTAAAGAAATGTTGACACATGGGGTGTGTCCAAATGGAGGAGCTAGGATGGTATAGGGCTGAGAATCGCGGCCAGAACAGTCAGCATGAGGAGCAAAGCTTACAGGAATATATTTTGCTGTCTTTGCATTCAGGGGCCTGACCTGCGGCAGGTGTAGACTTGTCCTGTGCCACTGCTGGGAGACAATCTGCATGGGTCGCCCGTGTTTCTGCTCATGTCGCAATCAATGCACCGACTGCTCTTGGTCCCAAACTATCTCTCCAAGGATGAAGTATAATGAACTGCTTTGGGAGGCAGAGATAAGGTCCCCCTCCAGAGCTAAGCACAGATTTACTTACAGCCTTGGAAGACACATACCATGTCTTCTTCCACAGCAAAGAGCTGACGTGCTTACTGCTCATTGTAAAATATTCGAGTTTGAGCTCAGAGTTCCTCTCCTGTGTCACAACCCACTTTGTGTGCAGATGTCAGCAGATCCTTCTCATGCTGTCCTGTGGGAACTGGAAGGAGCTTGGGGACCTGGCTCCAAAAGTGCTGAGAGTCTGGCTGTTGCAATTGCCACCAGTCTTTGTCTCTGACCCAGGAATCTCATGTTTTCAACCAGTGGCAGGCTGACTAGTCTCAGGCCCTTCAGAGTTTTTGAAAGTCACTCTCAGGGATTCTTATTCTGGACCCGGGAGAAACTGTAGGAGGCCCTGAAAGGGGTCTATAATGAAAGTCAATTCAGACAGAGTTCTTCTCCAGGGGGCGAGAAAAGAGGGAAGATAAAAAAGGGCCTCGTTGCTTTGGGGCACGCCTTTCACTATGGTCATGGGCGCAGATATTTCAGCAGCATAGATTAAGAGAGGTCTAGGAGCATGCAACCCAGGACACACACACAGACAGACAAATGACAAGTAAGATAAGGTGGGCAATGGGCTGCAGGGGTTTTTTTTAATGCAAGACCAAAAAAAAATAGAAATTTTAACATAAATTTTGCAAGCAAAAAGAATACATTTAAAATTAATTAGCCTCAGACTTTTTTTTTATAGAACAGAAGTAAGTCTATGCATTTAAATTAATTTTTGTGGCCCCAAGGTTTTATTTACTTATTTTGGTCTTGGAATGAGTAATTATTACAATTATGATTACCCAATTACCTGCTTCCTTGGTGCTGACAGAAAGATTTATTTCAATACAATCTAGGTGCTAGGTCCTGGAAGAAGGAGTGTATCTGCTACCCCTCCCATCACCCCCCCACCTCTCCAACCTTCACCCCCATCCTCCTTGGAACTTCCAATAAAGTCCAGAGGAGTGCTGAGAGGCGAATACAGGGCAGGGGTCTTCCAAAAAGTTGCCACTAAAGGAAGTTTAACTTGACATTTAATGTTTAGAATTTAAATGTAAATAGTTGCAAAGGAATTAATTTCCAATGCATTGCTAATAGTATGAAAGAGAAAATTGTCCCAAAACTGTCACTGGCAGGATTTTTTTTTTTAATGATGTAATTTATAGCCTCTTCCATGAAGTAATTGTGATTGCTGATAAAATGCTTGAGTAATTTCCGGATAGACTTTAATGGGATTAAGAAATCCTGAGAATTTAGGGTCCCCCTCTTGGCTATCTTAAAACACATCAATCAAACTTTGGCTATTCTTTGGTTGAGGCACCTTTTTTTCTGTCTCTCTAGGTGTGTGTCCCAAGAGAGAATTCCTGAATTGAGGCTAGTTTGAAATAGAATTTTTACACATACTACAAGCTTTTAGAAGGTATTTTAACAACTGACACTTTAAAATAAATTTGCTACATTACTTTTAATAATGATTTTATATTCAGCATCATCTACATGAAAAATATTAGAACAAAAATTATTTTTTGATACCTAGAAAGTTTAAATTTTCCTTTTCTCCCCTCAAATTCATATTTCAACCCTCCATTTTATCCTAATATATTTCTTAGAACTGAAAGCTTAAAATTAACCTCTCATAATTTTCTACAACAAAGTAAGTCTATAAATTTTTGTGACCATAAGGCTTTACTTTTTTGTTTCTGAGCTGAGTGATTATTATTACACAATTAATAAAATGTACAAATATATTACACATTTTGATAAATAATTATTAAAAAGAAATTTTAAATTTTATTGGAAATACACCTCTTAATGAAATGAATGGGGCTGGTTTATTCCACTTCCCCAAGAAAGACATGCACCCATAAATAGAAATGACCTATTACTACGAAGAGCTAGGGTTCACCATCAAGTCTATTCTTGTTTTTTGTGTTTAAGATGTAAGCTCTGAGGCGTGTTGTCCACTTAAGTACATGGGAGTGGAAGGAGTTCGTTATAGTAATATTACTCAACTCTTTGGACTTCTGAGTTATATTCCGAAATCACATTTAAAACAACATATCTGCCAGCTGTCATGACTAGGTATTCAACTTTGCTGAAAGCAAGGAATTGGAAAAAAGTTTTGCAAAAGGATTAGTTCCTCCTCCTAAGGATTCTAATCAGACCTTTTAGTAACTGGAGCGTTTGTTTGTTTGTTTGTTTGTTTGTTTGTTTGTTTTAAATATATTTTTAAATTTTTCAGTTACAGTTTCAGATCGCATAAATAACCAGAGTGTTTTAATACTCAAGGGCAATGCCCAGGAATGTGAAGGTAAATTGGCTCAACGGGGAAAAAAAAGGGGGGGGTACTTACAAAAAAAGTGCTGCTTGGGAGGTTTTGCTCATTTCCTTGGTGTAAATACTTCTGTAACCACAGAACAAGTCTAAACTGGCCGCCTCCTATTTCTAATAAGATACTAAGTTGTTTTTCAGAGATAACAGAACAAGGCCACAAAGCCACAAATCTTGAAGTTGGACAGTAGACATGCGCTATAAAGGAAGAATTCACCCTAGAATGACCTTTCAACGTTAAGGGGTCAAAACCCACCAGGGATGCCTACCAACCCCCCCAACTCAAACATGCAAAACATAAAAAGCAGTGATTCCCCAGCGCCTGCGCACTAGGCTCTCGTTGAGAGCTTCAGTTCTTTAAACACCTGATCACCTTTTGCAAAGGCTGTGCCCCAGGGCTCCATGTGCAGCCCTCTAAATACCACTGATTGCTCTCAGGACCACGCCTCAGATCCCGCCTCCTGTAACTTGTAATGTTTGAGGACATGGGCATATTGTTTAACTTCTGTGAGTCTCAGTTTTCTCCTGCAAGACAGAAGCCAATACCTACCTACCAAGGCAGTAAGAGCTGGTGGTGGTCTGTGTACAGTGCTGGCATCCAGCAGATGCTCCACCGATGGATGTTACTATCACAGTCCTCTTTTTGTGTTTGTGTCAGTCCTCACCTGAGGATACTTTTTCCACTGATTTTTAGAGAGAGTAGAAGGGAGGGAGAGTGGGGGAGAAAGAGAAGAAACATCGATGTAAGAGAAACACATCAATTGGTTGCCTCCTGCATGCCCTCGACAGGGCTGGGGATCAAACCTGCAACTCAGGTATGTACCCTTGACGGGGAACTGAACCCTGAACCCTTCAGTGCATGGGCAGACACTCCAACCACTGAGCTACATTGGCCAGGGCCAGAGTCCTCTTAATTAAGTTGAAAGGAAGAGACTTGGAGGGTTGATGCTTGGAATATCACACAAGGGGGAAACACAGGACCCTTGCTACTTAGGGCCGATATGTATTTTTTTCTCCAAAGCAAGTGACTGCTTTGGTTGTCTTAAAATGCTCACTTCAAACTTTCAAAACCGAACTTTCAGCTTGTTTCTCTCTCTCGTTTTTATACAATCTTTCGCCTTATGGACTGCATGTAGACAAACACACCCAACAATGGCTCTCTTTGGAAGTAGAATCCAAGCCTGGTCCATCTTGGACCTAACTAACCAGGGGGTTTAGTAACCAAGAAACAGAAGGGCCTCCTTCTAAGGTAGTTTCACCTGTAAGGCAATCCTGAAGCCTGGTCCCCCGGGGCTTCATTAGCATGAGGTTTCTGGTGGCTCTACTGGCTTGTTAAGAAGGCTTTTGAAAGTCTTGTTTAATGACGATGAATGGCAGAGCAAAGTCTTGTCACCACATTATAAACAATTCTAGGGCACAACCAATATCTCACACTGTACTTTATTTTTCTTCTCAATTTTAACTGGACAGACAAGGAAAGTTTAATGGCAATGTGGCTTTTTCTGATAACACAAAAAAGTGCCCTTATATTAATGCCGGTCAACTAGAGACTTACCCTATCTTAACTACTAAAATATGCTTACCATGTGCGTGCGAGAGAGTGTGTGTGTGTGTGGGAGTGTGTGTGTGAATGCGCGTGAAGCGCCGCAGGATAGCAGCCACCCCGAAAAAGTATTCATCTTAAAAGCAGCCATGGAAGGTCAAAGTGGAATCTTGATAACAAAAGCTTTCACTACGAAAACACTTTTTATACACTTATTTTATTTCAAACAAAAATCATCCCAGTAACTCAAAACAAAAGCAAAGCTCGGTTGAAAACTTAAGAAGATAGTATAATAAACACAACCACCCCCACGTCCCCAAAAGAAATTTGATTGGCTATCACTCCTTCAAATGGTACCCAGAGGGGAAAATTTAATAACACGAGCTAGCTTGGAAGGCCCACTGCAGCAGGTTCCCCCAAAGATTCCAGTATATGGCACTGCTATGTATCTACATCACAGTCGTATTTAGTAACAATTCCAGGACCTTTTGATGAAGCCTTTCGGTCTTGCACAGGTGTTTTTGTCTGCTGGGCTCACATTGATACACAAAACAAACTTGTCATCGGTAGGATAGTGGCTTTAAGTTATTTTTCTGGGTAGTCACGATGAATTGGTGCAATACCGTTCATATTCCATCTGGTTTTCTTTGTGCCCAGTGGGATGCATATTTCATGGTTGTCCAAGGTCTGTCCTATGAGTACAGACATGGAACAGAATGATTCTTTGAGTTAAGGACAAGGGACCTGTATTATCACTTACCCAGCTCAGTTTCACATTGTTTTGTTTTGTTCTGATTTTCTTTCTGTATTGTGCATAATACGTATTTAGAAACAGATGTTCCTACCAACCAGAAGGTTTTCATTAAATATCCTGTTGTTTAAAACTGCAAATTTATTGTTTAAGTAGCCATTAGACATATCCAGGCCTGAAGTATATGCCGCTGCTGGCAAATGTTGAAAAGAGCTTTGGTCCTTCTGTGCTGCCGAACAGAGCTGGATTTTGAGTTGCTCTGAGTTCTCCAGAATCTGAACATATTACAGAACTTAACAATACTTCTCACTTGTTGCATAAGGCCCTTCATGGAGGTATGACATTGACCCCTAGTAAAGGTCGCGCTTGTTTCCATTTCATACCCCCGCAGCTCTGGCTATTCCGAAACCGCCAGGCCCTGATCCAGTCTTGGGAATGTTTTGCTCATTTGAAAATTCCTCCCTCCCACCTCTGCCACAAATGTCCTTTGTCCCATAATAATTAAAAAAAAAAAAAAAAATCAATCTCTGGAAGATCCAAATTGAATAGCAACAAAGATCTGGTTGGAGCCTTCATAGGCCTGACAATGTAGAATTGTATTTCTTAAAAAGTGTGCAACCACACTTGTCTGGGGAGCAAAAGACACCACCGAGTGAGATCAGAATAGAATTTCAACTGACTCCCTAAGTTCCTTAGAATGGCTTATATTTCAAGCCCTTCCTGTTTCTTTCTGATAGAGCAGGTGTACATTACGAACTATAAGTGATAAGAAAGTATAAAAACAACCACCGCTTTAGAAGTTCAATCGAGAGGAGAGTTTAAGTTCACATTTGTAAATTAGTCATTTTAGCATGAGTTTAATTGCAAGATGGTCTATTTCCAATTCTGTTCAATCAGTAGATCCTTAATATGAAAGCCAGACGCGTTGGGGGCTGCCTTACTTATTTATGTTTCATCCTGATTATTGTGACTCCTCTTGATTTATAATCACTTCCTAGTTTTCCATCACTGGGCCAGGACTAGGCCTTTGAATGATAAACAATAAATATTTACGAATGAAATACAGGTCATATCCAAATGTCAGGCCATATCTGAATATGCAGAGAAAAGTGGGCTGGGGTAGAATTTGTTTTTTGTTTGTTTGAACTACTGAAAGGTGCTTCCTTAATTCAAAATGTGACTTTCACCCAAATCTCAAACGTACAAGGCTTTTCAGCCACCGGGCAAATTGAGATGAACTGTTTGCTGCAGGACATACCGGTTGTTTAGATCTCTCCTCCCGGGTGCTTGTGCACTGAGGGCTCGGGACGACCGAGGAGGTTCTTGGGTGATTTTCTCCTTGTGGTTCTTGTGAGAGCCCTTGACCCCAATTTGGAAAGTGCATGCGTCCCATGTAACCTTGATCTTGGCCAACATACGCACCGCGCTCAGGTGGGAATCCCTTCTCAGAAAGAAAGAAGTATGAACGGTTCTCTGGTTGTCCGATCACAGAATAATTGAGACAAGGAAAAACAGAGGAGAAAAAACGACTAGTTGAAGCTTTTATAGACATTCATTGCTTCTAACAAGTTTTTAACAACAAGAAAAATGCAACATAACTACTCTCAGAGTGAGTGCAGCCACAATACTGTACAGTTCTGGGGCAGGCGGCTGGGCACGTTCACCATGAAAACCAGATAACAAAACCCCACAGCAAAAGGAAACCAGCCAGAAGCCAACCCCTGGGAGTTTTTTTTTTTCTTTTTAACATATATATATATATATTTATATATATACACATTTTTTGAATAATCTGCAAATCCCAGTTTGAACAATAACAAAAACAATAAAAGACAAACAGACTCTATATTAAAAACGTCCATGTTCTTCATTGTTACTTTAAAGCAGCTTGGAGGCTGTCGCCACTTGGAGTGTACTGCAAACTGACTCCATTAAGATGATCTTGGCAGAATAGCAGCACAGGATTTGATATTCCATATTTATCACTTTTGACAATGTAAACCTTTCATAAAATAATATTTCTCTTAAAAATTAGAATCATTCAAAGGTCTGATCGTCCTGTTCCCTGAGGCCCGCCAGGGAGGTCTGGCTTCATACCATGGGGTTTCCTGCTTTCTCGGTGTGGGGCATGGGGCGTAAGTGCCACTGCATTTCAGGAAAAACCTGAAGGACAGCCAGGGAAAGGGCCCTGCAGAAGGAGGGCAGGAGGGCTCTAGATGAGTCTATGTGGAAACAGGCCATGTAAAGCAACTCTCGAAAGGTCAAACCATTGGAGCCAGAATTTAATCCCCTGGTCACTTCTCATCTAGATTTTCAACTGAATGAACCTCATGGGTTTAACCAAACATGTATGCAATCCTAAATAATGTGAGTTAAATTATGATTTGCCCGGGGACAAATAAACCCGCAAGGAACAAGGGCAAAGGGACAACACATACATCCCTCACAATAAACAATTATGTTGTCAAGGAAGAGCGCATAACTCTGTGGAAAGAATCGCCTCCGTGGCCGGCATGCTCCAGAGTTTCTCAGGTAGCTGAGACCCAGGGCTTAGCTCATCTTCTCAGAAATGCTTTTAAAGAATTAAGCGACAATAATCTCAAGTGGGAAAAAAAAAAAAATGATCATTTTCGCTAACAAAGAACGTAGAGGCCATAACTAAATACAATTTTTAAAAAATGCTGAGATGCATGTATTTTTTTTTTAAAAAGCAGCTTTCGAAATATCAACCACAGCATTAAACATTGAACATATTACATTCCAAAGTTAATACAGATAAATGGTATATAATGCAATAATGCCACAGTTATTCCACGTGTCTCAGGCTCTCTAAACTTGAAAACATTTCCTAGTTTACCGGCTGAAGATCACTTCTTTCGCTACTTCTCTACAGCTCTCCGCCACTGCTTTTTTTTTTTTTTCCTTTTTAAATGCCCAGGATGTACAGATAAACTCCACATTCCACACCTGGAACTTTTTTTTCCCCCCTCTATCAGGTTTTCAAATAAAACCAAACTACAATGACAAGATAATGTTTTACATCGTAATTCCATAGACATGGGTCAATTAATCCATGACACCTCATCTCAACGCTTCCTCAGGATTTATGACCCTCCCCTAAGTCATTTAAAGCCTTGCTTTCAACTGTTCAGACAGGTGGGTGGCCGTGGAGCCGGTGCACGTGCGCCGTGGCCACGCTGCACAAGGGCCGCGCGTGTCTCCTTTCTCTGCGTTTCCTTTTGGTGGTGGCACTCCCGGCCTTCGAGTGGCACTCCCGGCCTTCGAGTGGCACTCCCGGCCTTCGCCACCTTCCCTCCACAGTGGCAAATGCCTTAGGAGCGTTGGTTCCCAGGTTCCAGGCTCCAGGCTCCACATTCCAGGGGGAAAGGACCTTTCTGGCTGGGGCCCAGGGGTCCAGGCCCCAGCCTACTGCTCTTCCTTGACAGCGGGATTCTGAGTTCCATCAGCTTCCAGACACTGGGAGACCACAGCGCTCTGTCTGAAATCCCTGGAGCAGGCCAGCGATCGCCCAGGCGAAGGTCCAGGGCCGGGCCTCCCAGCTGGGGCGAGGCGGGACTCCAGACAGCGGCCTTTTGCGGCAAAGCAGGCACTTGCGGCGGCCTGATGCTCTGTAACTGCAGCCTCCCTGACGCTGATGCCGAAGAAGTCACCCAGACGTTCGCTTCCTCGCATTCCCGAGGATCCTGTTTCACGTGCAGAGCCAGTTTTTGGAGGGGGAGCGTATCCAAAATATACGACTATACACATCAGGGCTTAAGGTACTGGATGATTTTGTATAAATTGCTAAAATGCTTCTCGGCACAATTGGTAGCTTAAAAAAATACTTTCCTATGGTTTAAGGGCATTTTTCCTACCACTGTCCTTCGGTGTGGAAATCTTGGCGGATACCAAGTCCATCTGAAGTTCCCGATTTTTTTTTTTTTTTCTTCCAACCAGGAATGTACCATGTGAGACATATGCAAAGTGTAGGTTCTTCTGGCTGGGAAAGAATGCACCTCCCTCCAAGCACCTCCCTCTATTAATATCACAGCCCCCGGGGGCAAATCAATGCCAGGAAAATGAACACCTCCTTCCAAACCTCCAGCAGCCAGAAGCTCGGCTTCTGGAACAGTCCTGTCCTTCGTCAGGTTGTTTGCCCTTCAGATGGTGAGTCAGTCCGGCCAATAACATGGAAGGCGAATCTGTTTGTAGGCACAGGAGATCCAGGTGGAGCCACACCGGCGACGCTTGGCAATGAGTGGTAGGCTTTCCAAAGACAGGATGCTCCACGGGACTGTCTTAAATAAATAAATCTTTTTTCTCAGAAATGTAAAAAATAAATGGTATTTCCCTTTGGCAGTAAATAGCTGATTCGACGTTGAGCCTGAAAGCTGTTTTTGTTGTTTGTTTGCTTGCTTGTTTTTAAGAGACCATAGCTCCGTTTCATGGTACATCCCTAACAATGCATATATTTCTACTGCTTTCGCGAACCTTTTGCATATTTGTTTGTGGTAGGCCTGTTGCCTTCACTTGTGGCCCAGATAGGCACCCAGGGTGATGCAAGCTCCCACCAGGGCCAGGCTGAGCAGCGCCTTCAGGGACAGCCAGGAGAAGTCGAACAGAGGCCGCATGTTGGGCCCGTACAGTTCCACAAAGGCGTCCTGCAGGGCAGAGAGGAGGGAAGACAGAGAGAGGGCGTTAGGGACAGAGGGCAGACCCACTCTTTCCACTTTCATCCAAGAAATATTTATGGAGACCCTATATATGTGCCAGGCACCACAGAGAAACAGCAGTGAATGACATAGACGGAAAGTTCCTGCCTCACGAAGCTTTTATCTAGTCGAGCGGGTTGGGCAACAAACAAAATAAATGTATGATATACAGTAGTGTATTGGAGAGCGGCAAGTGAGAGAGAAAAAAATAAAACGGCAGAGGCAGTTAGAAATATGGGAGGCTTCGCAATTTTCGCGAGCGTGGCCATTCATAAAAATAATAAAAAACCCACGACCAAGATTACACTCCTTTATTGAATGCTTGCTATATGCCAGGCACTTGTAATGAACGCCTAACATTATTTATTCTTCACACTAATCCTATGGAGTCGTTTTATTTATTCCTGTTCTGTAGAGGGGGGAAAACCTGAGACTCACAGAGGTTAAAGGATTTGTCTAATCAATGATAGGGCCGGGATTTGAACACAGATCCAAACCAGTGCCCTTCCCTCTGCTGATGCCGGAACAGCAGCTCGGTAAGTGCTTGGTCTGCGCTGGATACTGATGTGGTGAACACAGCAGGGTGACCTCCACTGGTGGCATGCCTAGCCTCTGAGGTCAGGGACAGGGTGTTCCCTGGGAAAGGAAGCCACTGTGGGGTTTCTCCCCAGGGTGGTTAGACTGGAATGACCACAACTTTGTGTTTAACGCAAGCTGTGAACTTTGCAAGCATGTGGTCTTTATGGTCAGAATGTGTCAATGGGCACGCAGGTCCCGGAACAAAGAAGATGGCTCCTGTCTTCCCTTCGTATAACTGCTTGGAAGCCAGGCCTGCAGGGTCCTGCAGCAAAGGTCTCTGGCTTGTCTTAGCTTGAACCAGCTTCTTAGATTTGTTGGGGAAGATTAGGTTCCACATTTGGACCCAATTAGTATTTGGACAACTGTAAATCAAAATATATAAATCAGTAAATGAAATGCTTTCTTCATGTAGTGCGATTTATTTAGGCATTCTAACAACCTGGAATTAGAGCACACAATTTCATTACGGAGACAGGAACACGCGGAGACTCCTGGCACTGCTGGGCGGAGAAGGCTCTGACGACCTTCATAGCTTTTTTGTCTGTTTGGGGCAAGTACTTCAGTGAAGGGACCAGGTATCCTCTTTGTCCCAGTGCTGTGCAAGGTCTTGTACATGTAGGTGCTTAATAAATGTTTTTTCAATGAACGATTCAGGTTTTCTGAATTCAATTACTGGTTTGAATTCTCTTTGGCCTAATACGTCACCCAGATGCCTACTCTGCCTGTTTGAAATTATTCCTTCTAAATACAACCTCTGGCAATCTTGGAGGTGAGAGTTAAGGCATCATTAGGGGAACTTCCCACGTTATTAAATATAGATTTACACAATTATTTTTCACGACTACGTAGTATTCCATATATGCTGCGCTTTATGAAATCAATGCTTTATTTGGGTTGTTCTAAACTTTTACTATTGAAACAATATTATGATACATTCTTATATAAATTTTTATGTACTTGCTCAGATGTGTTCTTTTTTTTTGGAGACAAATTACTCAAAATTGTTTACTAAAGTCATAAAAGGTTTCTGCTGAGTCATCCCCACTCTCTCACTGGTTGCCCTGGGACCAGTAACACCTTTTACAAAAGGCAGGCACCGGTTTAGGGCAGTGGTTCTCACTGTGGGTGGCCTTGCCCCCCAGGAGACGTTTGGCAATATCTGGAAACATTTTTGGTAGTCATGATTTGGGGTGGGGTCATCTGTGGGTAGAGACCAGAGATGCTGATCAGCATCCCACAATGCACAGGACAGCCCGCACCACAGAGATCATCCAGCCCAAGGCTCCAAGGTGCCATGCCTGAGAAAACCTGTGAAGAAAGATTCTGAAGAACCTCTGTGTTGACTGACCACAGAACACAATGTTCTACCTAGTGTGTCAACAGCTCTGGTCAAATTAGCATAAGATTAGCCCACAAGTGGGAGAGCGGGACCTTCAGATGCACTGGATTAACTTGCACCAGGAGAGGGCGCAAGGGTTTTCTTCTTTTTCAATCTGTTGTTAAAATGTTCCAAATTCGAGCCTTAGCAAAGCGAGGCTCTGAGAGACATGATGAAGTATGTACTTAGTGCTCTTAGCACAAAGCTGAGGTAATAATCGTGATTGCTTGTCGAGAAACATACCTTCCCTATACACAGTCAGGGGTGAACGGGCAGGAAGGGGTCAGGACGTATTTACAGGCAGGAGAAACTGCCTTTTGTGAAGTGCAGTCTGGGATCCCACAGACACAGCTGGGAAGGCCTCCGAGCCCTCCCCTCCCTCATGCTCTCTCTCAGGGATGGGCAGGCTGGAACCCCCAACCGCCCGGCCACAGGATGCCCCAGAGCACGGACACTGGGGAAGAAGGTCCGTGGTTGGACTCCGCATTTCTTTAGTTACCAATGGAGTTTTCTGTGGCTAACTATGAAACGGACTGAGACGCTGGCCATCTGACCTTTCTGGACAAGGAGCCATCCTGGAGAAGTGGAGGAAGCACGGACACCCGGGCTGGCATGCCCTCCCCATGTGCCTGGGGCACAGGCCCAAGGGGCAGAAGAAATGCCTGTCCAAATACCCTTCCTCTGGGGCTGGAATAATCCCCTCCCGACCCCCATCGCCTCACATAAATACTGTGCTTCTAACGGGCCATTTCTGATGTGCATTACAAAGAAAAACCTCATATCCAGGGTGGGATGAGCTAACAGCAGCTCTTGACCTGGAGACCGAGCACAGCGGTGCTGACGCAGCCCCCAGGGGTCTGGGATCAGCTCTGGACTCGGAGAGAAGATCTGGGTGAAATCCCAGCCTTGACGTTTTATTGCTTATGACCTTGAACAAATTACCCCATCCCGAGCCTCATTTATTTCACCCATAAAATTGGTTATTGTGAAGATTAACGTAGGTGACTCAAAGCCATTTGTCAACGTGGCCCAGGACGGTGAACTAGTGGCAACATTAGCAGTCGGCCCCCTTGCAAACCTGCTGCGTGCCTCCTAAACCTGCCCCTCCCTCCAGAGGGCCCCCCGACGGCAGGGCAGGTTTTCACAGAGCCCTTGGCCAGCTCCCTCTAAAGATGCCTGGGGATGTCTAAAGAAATTGTGAATTAAAATGCACACGTGATGTGTTCGGGGGAAGACAGGAAGTGAAACTACAATGCCCGGCTATACTTCCTCATCAATTGTTAAGGCAGGTTGTAGGCGGAGGGGCCTCATTAGCCCCCCTGAGGTTGAATCGGCCTCCGAGCTTTGCCCATCTACGTTCCAAAGTGCCACGCCGACCCTGTGCTTTCAGGCCTGAAGGCCCTAAAATCTACTTTCGTACAGTGTTCTTGCTCTTTCAAACATCCTGATTAGGGCGATTTCCGAAGTCTGTTTGAACAGTCTGTCATTATTTGTTTAAGTTTGAGAGCTGTATTAAATAAACACATGCTCATTTTATGTATTAGGAGCAACAAAGAGGGAAAAAGAAAACCTGGGCTGTCGTCATGTGACTCAGTCAATACCCCAGTCTATATATTTAGGAGGCACCGCAGGCCTTGCTCATGTCAGGACTGGCAAGGGCTCTGCCCAGTTTCAGGGATGTGCAGAGAAGGTTCCCAGGGGAGGGTCCTTTCTCCTTTGGCTGGCCCCTCACATCACAGAGGAGACAGGCGGTGCCCCAGCTCTGGTCGCTCCTGCTCTTTTGCAGAAGCTTCTCCACAAACTTCAACTTGGAGACCGCAGATGGTCTGAGTCTGAATCCCACCCAGGGCTGGCATCAGTGGGGCAGGAAAGCCCAACGCCCACCCCCAGGCCCGTGCTGCAGGGTTGGAAGTGAGCTGGGGAGGTGTGGACCAGAACAGGCCAGGCTCAGACTCCTGAGCTGGGGGAGAGGGTTGGCAGCAAAAGTGTCCTTGTCTCTCCTGCATTGGGACCAGTCTTGGGACCACTGTCACCCTCTCTCGCTGCCTCCCGGGAGGTATGGGGGGAGAGGGAGGGAGGGAGGCATCGAATTTGGAGGCACCCTCCAAATTCTCCCTTTTCCTCTTAAGAATCCTTCAAAAAGTTTCACTTAAACCTGATTCCAAATAAAATGAGATTGAAAGAGAAACGAATCAGATGGGCAAAAACTGAAAAAGGCTGAATTCTGCTGAAACCGATGGAGTGGGGATGGGGGTGGGGGCCCCAGATGCAGGGAAAGGTCAGTGTAGAGGCCTTTTTGTATTTGGCAAAGCGTATCAAAAACTTTAAAAATATTTCCCTTTGGTTAGCAATCCCCCTTCTAGTTATTGAGCTTGAAAAAGTAATTAATAAAATGCACAGGTTGTTTATAATAGTTAAAACCTGAAAACAACTTAAATGTCTGAAAATATGACTGGGTGTTGGTTCTCAGCTCTCCTTAGACCTGGGGAAGCTTATGATGGCTCCGTTGGCTGTAAACAAATGAGAAATTCAGCTTCATTCCACAATCTTTGAGCTGACTGTGGATACAGGCATTCTATGGTCATGGGAGACCCCAAGGGGGAAAGCCATCTTGTCCTCGAAGAGCTTAAGGTACAGAGAGAGATGCCACCTCTGTGGGCACCTCTGAACTAACCAAAACCCAGATGTGTTACCATTTTGTATCCCGCCCAGAGCACACCTGTCGGCGGTAAGAAGGAAATAAAAAGAAAATCAGATGGTGCCAACAGGAAACCAAACACTGCTATCAAATGCCCTTGGTATTTTCCATTTTTCATGGCTTTCTAACTTTGTCTCCATGGGGATCACCTCTCTCATGTCAACCTGAGGGTTAGGGAAGGAGACGAAAAAGGCAAGGATGGAACATAGTCACACAAAACCGTGAGCTGTAAGGACACTCCAAGCAAGTTCAGATCTCCCAGACTGGTGTAATAATGCCTAATGAAGATATTGG